GCTAACGATGCAACACCACCAGCTAGGTAGGTGTTTGTAGATGTGTGTGTGTGTGTGTGTGTGTGTGTGTGTGTGTGTGTGTGTGTGTGTGTGTGTGTGTGTGTGTGTGTGTGTGTGTGATGTTGTCTGTCTGAACATTTGCATCTACAACATTTGGTTAGGTTCCCTCTATGGAGGATCTCGGAAATAAATATTGAGCAGGTATTATCTATTTGTTTTAACTAACTACTGTCGGAATATTCTAAACCAAAAGAGGAACACTTTCTATTTTTCTGTAATGTGTAACCAAAGACAAATATGGTGTTTCCAAGCGACAAAGGCTTAGTTTACTGTGAATTGCAAAACTGTCAAAGAGTGAATCCTTTTGATCTTGCATAATTGTAACAAAATGTTGTTCAAACTTCTTCCTCTTCTCAAAATATCTTAGTTTAGAGGGTAAGCATGCTAACATTTGACACATTAGCAGAAGACCCAAACTTTGTGCTTACTTTGAAGAATGTAGGTATTTGGTCATAAACCAACGTTCAGAAAATCCCATAAAACAGGCCTAAAAATATAGTCCCTGAAGGCTACACGGTGGGTGCACTGGGTTACACTAATGTAGATAACTGTCTGTTCCCGCGTTGATTTACGTTTTGTGTGTTTCAGAGTCTGAGCCTCCACTTAGTGACCGATCAGAACATTTCTCAGACTCAGGTCTGATCTCTCTGTTGAGATCAGAGCTCGGCCTGTCGTCCTCGGACCTCTTTTCCATGACCATCACAGACTACGACATCAAGCCCAACGTAAAACAGTCTTCTCTGAACTTTTTATTGTCTTTTTATCTGGATTAGATAAGTGTGCATGCACGTTCTCAGCACCACTCAGGATCACACCTGGAAGTAGTCTAGTTCACAGCTGGCCAGTGTGTTGAGAACAATATTCACCTCATCTGCCACAGACAACATGTTTTAAAAATTACACATCTACTGTAGTACCACCATTTCATTTATTTGAGAAAATCCAATAGAATTGAGCACAATTGAATAAGAGATGTGTATAATGAATCGATACATTTAATGAAATTGACAAATGGATGTGTTTTTGTTTTGTTGTTGTTTTAGGCATGTCAGGACCAATTGAAATGTAATTCCATGTAATATTTAACCTGACCTATTTAGCTTTTTTTTTTACCCTAGAGAGTTTTTGAGGCCCCCCCATCAGGTCCTGCTCTGTTCGAGTACATTGACAACTTTGCCTCAAGGCGCTCAGAAAAAGAAAAGGAAAAGAGGACCCCTCCTTCCTGCTCCAATGGGAAGCAAAAGCCTGAAGCTGATAATATACTGCTCAGGTACTGCACTTTAGCTTAGTGTTCATTATCATTTAATACAACAAAGATACAAACACATCCTCTCATCTCTTAACCTGATGTCACCTACCACTGACTGATACCCCATTATCAAACTAGGTTTGTGTCTAAAAGGAGACTGCTGCTCATCTCTGCTCCCTCTGAGGACGACTACTCCTTCCAGCAGCAGCTCTCTGCTCTCAGTGGACAGGGGTGTCACTTGGGTCAGGAACACACACACACACACACACACACACACACACACACACACACACACACACACACACACACACACACACACACACACACACACACACACACACACACACACACACACACACACACACACACACACACACACACCCACACCCCCCCCACACTTCTGCCGCACAATACACTGCTTGTCTTCTCTGTAGTTTCCGGTGCAATGAGGAAATGTTTCGACAGTCACATTTCCTGTCTGACCTTCCAACCAACAGTGCCAGTTGCCTTATTGGGCAGAATTGCATAATAACTATTTTGCAAAGAAGGACATAAATGTATATAAGTGTACTTTATTTTTACTATAACGCATTCTTATGTATTAAGGCAGCTAATTGCAGAGGTCGACAATTACAATTACATTTGAATACTGTACTTGAGTACAATTAGAAGGTAGATGTACTTTTAGTGTTTTTAATGCCACTTTATACTTGGATGCTTTGACATATTTTCAGAGTTTATTACAGTTTTGAAAATACATTATTTATGTAAAAATATATAAGTAATTTTATAATTGACCATCCTGCAAAAGCTATTTTTTTAAACATTAAATAAATCTTTAATAAAACAAATTGTTGGGTCTTTCCTCAGGCATTCGCCACTTTGCCATGTTGAAGCTGATTGGAACTGGGAACAAAGCATCAGGAACTGTTGAACTATTTCCCCTAAACGGTAATAAGTTCATTTTTGTAATTCCTTCAAATGGTCTTTATAGAGAGGAAAACATACTTTTAACCTTGTCATTGTTCTTGCAGGTCATAGTCAGAGTGAAGTCGAACCTCTATCCAGGGACATGGTAAACAATCTGAGAGAACAGCTGAAGATCAGTAAGGACTATTTCAGCATGCTGTTTGTGGGGAAGGACAGCGACGTCAAGGCGTGGTTCCCGTCCCCCATGTGGACCCTGGATAACGTCTACGACCTGGTGGACTCCACGGAGCAGCGGGTGCAGGAGGAGAAGCTGCAGAAAAGACTGGGGATCCACTGCCCTGAGGACAGAGGGAGAGGAGCCAGTGAGGGGGGGCATTACCCCGGCTATGATGAAGATGGGACGGAGGACGCATACTATCACCAGTCACAGCAATGATGAGAAGGAAGGAGGAAGAAGATTTAGTGGAGTGAAGAAGAGCTTCCTATATTCTGGAGATGACACAGCAAACACATGAACATACACAAATTAATAACAAGGACCTACAAACACATCTTCAGCACAATAATAAGCTGTATATGTTTATGTTTGCAAGAAATAAATGTGAAAGCTGAACAGAAAATGTTTCAGGAATGGTTTCATTCAATAAAGACTTAAAGAAAACACATGTGCAACTTTTTTAAATTGTATGTTAAAATCTGGTGTAGGCATATGCTCATTGAAGTAACAATGAAACATTAAACTGTACTCCAAGGACTAGCAGATTGAGCTCTCTGGCAACACTTCTGTCCACTCTTTCTCAAACACAATCACTGTCTAAAATATAAAAATGGAACTTCCCTCTGCTGAAATGCTGTGATGCTCAAATTGAAACTGTATTTAAACAAAAAACATGTTCTTCATTTTAATTCTGGGCTAACATCTGTTTTTTAAAGAGCTGCAGTCTCCAGACACCTCAGGGTCAATAAAACAAAGAGTTAGTGGTGCTGGACACATTGCATGCTTCAAGAACATTCTTAACAAAGTCTGATTAAACGGCATAGTCTTTCAGTTCTGAAAAAAATAAAAAAATGTACATGTACGTATCTCTGTATGCCTATGATTAGAGTACATAAATGGTCCTCAAATTCCATACATAAAAAACAAACGTGATTTTATAATAAGGAGAGAGCAATTTATATATATGGGGCCCAGTAAATAGAAGTGTGAATAGTCATAACATGGCAACGCTGTAAATATCCTTAAGCAATGCTTCGTAATTCAATCCAGATGAGAAGATATGCAGTGAGTTAACAGGAAATTTGTGTAAAACATCACACATGCCTAAATGTGGATGTTAGTTTCTGCAAGTGTAGCTGCATCTTACAGAAAGGGAAGAAGAAGTAAGTAATTATAGGTTTGGAAACACTCTGGTGGGCAAATAACGTACAAATACAATTAAATATCTAGCAGCGTCTCCTTATAACAGGAATGATCAAATCTGCATGTGGGTGTGTTGTAGCTTCCACAGTCCGAATGAATGGCAGTCAGGCAGATTAGACAGTTTTAACATAGACAGGAAAATAAGAGTAAAGTCTGTCTATTTTCTCCAGGTACATACTTTGATGAAATAGATGTATTTCAAGCGTTTAATGTTTGTTTGTTAACAATTCTCCTTATTTTCTGAGAAATGTGCTTTATTATTTATTTTCTTATGAACAGTAGGCCTACTTAATTGAACCGCCTGTTTTATAGTCCTCCTCCTGTTTCTATAGTTGGATACATACTGAAGTACAAAAACAAAATACCTGTGCCAATCATGAGGAAGAACAGTTATTTATTTTTGTTAAGCATTTACAGCTTCCTCTGAATAGTCCCATTGAAATGTGTCATGCAATGATAATATAACCATGACATCCACTAGGAGGACTGCTCAGCTATCATTGGGTTCACTGACCTGTTCCACTTTCTCACACAATGCATTTGTCAACCTCTTTCTTCTAAATACTTACTCATACTTTTCTCTGTATTCAGGGAGATAATCCAGTTTTTCCCACTCTACTGAGTGTCGAAACCACTAACCTAGGCTTAAGTGGCCACAAAGTCAACACAAAAAAACACTACATGGTCCAGAGTAAAAACATCTCTGACTGTACCTGTGGTGCCACTTTCAGGTGGAAATCTAAATGTTTACAGAACTTTGTATGACCAAATACCTTGTGAGATAAGTTATACATGCTTATTCGTACATGTTACCAGGCTAACATTGTAAACTTATGGTGAACATCGTTAACATTTTACTGCCACATTTGAGCATGTAAGCCTTATTATCGTGAGCCGGTTGCAATGCAAGTCATTTCTTTCCCCAAAATAGTCACATTTGAAGTGTTTCAAACAAAGGAACAAGCCTCACAGTGTTTTCTCTTCACCTGCCGCTGAGTGAGTGAGTGGGCACCAGTTGTTGAGCACAGAGGGAATGTGCAGGAAGTTTGCCAGGGATAGGCAAATCCATCAGATAAAAACACACAGATAACAGAGGCTGGGACAATCACACAAAACATACTTACTACTAAGAGAGGAAGTAGTCTGCTTATGTCACCAACTGAACCAGAATGTTCATCCCCCCAACATACAAACACACATACTCACTTAATGCTTTGTCACACGCGCTGTCCTTCACCATATCTTACCTCTCTCTCTTCGACAGCAACAGAAACTCACACAGACACACTGATCAAACACACTCTGCTGCACTTCACACACCAACCATTCGGACGTAGCAGAGGTACCTGGGGCTGCTGTTCTCAGTATGGTGAGTACAACTAAACTGGCTATTAAAACTGTTAAATTACTATTGAAAGCTACAATTTGAAATATGTCGCACTATATGAAGATTTCACAAGATTTATAGTTATATGAGAATTGTGAGTGACAAGTATTTCTTTGCAACAACTTCCTCAAATAGCATTCTTGTACACATTAATTTACCAATGCAATGTGTTTAAGCAAGTTGTGCATGTGTGATTCAGGAGGATTAAGTTAAATTAAAGTTAATAGTACGCTGGCATTCAACACACCTTGGACTTCAGAGTCACTGTCGCGATTTGTAGGCTTTTAGTTAATCTAATAAAAGAGCAAAATTATTTGAATTGCATTTAAAGTTTCCATTTGATTTCTTCATTTATATTGTGTAAAAACAGTATTCACTCTCTTTGTATTTTTCTTGTGTAAAAACTAGTTCGTGTTAACTAGATTGAGCAAGACAACTTTGGCCTCCACTTTTCATCACACTGGAAATAGAAATCATGGTTCCTCTTTACTTGGACAAGAAGTGAGTTTTTTCTCTTTCATTTCTCAGCTGCTCATTGCACTTAACATGTACCTATGCTTAATGGCTGCATAGACGGCAAAAGTATATGGTATATTTGCGGCAACAGGAAATGTAGCTATAAGCTAACACCTAACTATATTCTAAGAGGTGTTTCAAACATTTGAAAGTTCTTTAAACAAAATTGCAACTGGACTGACAATTAGAGAAGCGGTAATTGCGACTGTCTGGTAAAGAGCATATTGGGCCATTTTTAGTACACTGTGGTTAAGAAACAGACGCGTGATGAGGGAACTTTCCTCTGATTTCATATGCAGCCACATGATGACAGACAAAGGGTTATGGCACCACTGCAAGATGTTACTGGCACTATTAAAGTGACACTCCACCCTAAGCCTTTTTTTAGGGCACCAAATACGGAACCTGCTGCAGAGTTTGCTTAAGAAAGGTGTTAGATGTAAAGTAAAAGTGGGCCTTCTCAGCTAAAAACAATGCTCCAACATCCCTTACTTGTCCATTCCCAGGCCAAGAATACTGCAATATACTAACAAAAGATTTTTAGCCATATTTTGAATGATGGAGGGATAGATAACTGCAGAGCAGAGAAGTCCAGTATGTCAATTGAAGTAGAAAAATGTTATCTGAAAAGCTGCAAAACGTTTAAACTGGCAATCCTTTTCCAACAAATATCTGCTTGTAGTAACCTAAAACTATGACATTTTCTTATGGTTATTTTTTGGCAAGTCTAAAGGCAGAGTTAAGGTTATATTTTCTCCAGGATGTAACAAAAAACATAATCATTTCCTACAACTTCCATGCCATACAAAAGACACTATCTTGACTGGAATGTTTTTGTTGCAAATTAACATGATTCTAAAACATGGAAGCCAAAACAATTGTCAGGGTCGTGAGAAGACATGAAGCTTCAATCTCAAAATGTAACTCGTTCAGAATTATTAAAAAGTAAACATGAGCTTAACTTGGGTTTGCATGTCTCATAAACATCATGCAGAAATCATTCTTGTTACAATAACACCCAGCAGCTTCTTCTTTTTTAAGCAAGTAGGACTGGTTTTACAATACTGTAGCTAGGTATTTGGTTGAATGTTGTTATTAGATCTGACATTTATTATTTAACTTCCTATTCTTCTTCAGGTATAACATTATACTTTGCATCACACAGTTTCCCCTTACTTTCACTGCTCTGTTGTAGGACTAACATCAGGTGTGTGTGCTCATGATCTTATCTTTACTTCCTGGTATGGTGCTGACTCCAGTCCAACCTGCCTCATTACAATAGGAGTGGCACCTACTTGGTCTGTTTATTGTTGCACTTCGTAAAGCGGCATGAGTTATACTGAGTTATAACATGTTGCACATTGTGCTCAAAGGAGAGAAACATTCCAGATGTTTGAATGGCTCAATTGAAAGCAACACAATAGACTATTTTATTTACATTTCCCTTCCCCCAATCAAACTGCAATAAAATAAACAATTGCTAAGGCTCAAAAGAGACATTCCTTTCATTTCAAACCTTATTTATGCAGGTGAATCCCATTGAGATAATTGATCTCTTTTCAAGGGTGACCTGCTGCAAGTAGGTTCCACAAAAAAGGACATCATACAGCATATTCACAGCCACTACAGTTTACATAGCTAGTGACATTTACAGGTGCCAACAGTTTCCGATTGGATAGCATCTATCGGTGCTTTAAAAACATTTAGTGGAACCAAACTGCTCATATTGCAAACATAGCTGCCTCTCTTGAATACATATTTGACAAAAGTAGCTTTTGTTAACCTGTAATCTGTGATCTCATAAGTAATAAAGCACTTTATCTGCAATTACGAGTTTATCTATTTTATAGTGGTGTATAATTTACATATAAGACTTTCCCTTTATGTGGCGTTTAACTTTTATAAGCTTTTAAGAATTTTTTCTTTATCATTTTGAGGGGAATAGCTTTCAAGGGAAGTCTCAACAAATAGACTGACAGTATAGCTAACAATGTCGGCACCTTTTTTTCTTCTTTTGGAGCTTGTCCTGCTAGCTACTTTTATTGTAAACGGATAACAGCACTTGGTTCGTTTTATTTCAGTGTGATCCTTTCAAAATCAACGCTACTCTTGCTAGTTTATAAAGATTGCCAATCCAAGCTCTAATAACCCAATGTTGGTGACACACACATTCACACACCAATGGCTTACGTGGAAAGGTGAGCATTGATGCTAATTATCACTTTGGGTTTATTGTCTTTTCCTTACAGTATGTAGCAAGCCTGAACCTCTGATGAATGGACAACTTGTACCTCTTCAGCTGTGTGTGTAGTTGCTCTGTGTGTTTTTATCATGGTTTGTGTCAATAGGTATGAGTGTTTTATGAGTGGCCAATAGAAGCAAACAGAGAGGTTAAGTAACCACAGAAAACAGCATGTATCACATAAAGCGATTGGAAAAGAGAGAAGGAAATCACAGAGGAAA